TTTGGTTAAACTATCGGAAATCATTCGGGTTCCTTCAATCCATCTGATTTGACCCCTGGTATGGGAAAAATCCCTTTTGAGAATCGTCACATCGATTGCCGTCCTCTTGTCCTCGATGTGGGCACTGGTGTTGCAGCATTTGTTGATCGTGTCATAGAGTGACTTTGAGTCTGTGACGGCAATGTACGGAATCGCACCGATCCGCGCCTCCCAATCCTCCGATCGTAGATTTTGTCCATGAATCTCCTGGATGAGGAAGCGCAGCCAATGTAGAGCGCCGACTCCTTGAAGCATCGCCTGACATTCTGCAGAAAGAGTGTTTACAGTGCACCTCTTTATGTGAAAGCTTTTCCAATTCACTATGGATATGGGATATGATTTCTCTTCAATCTCCATCCGGGAATCATAGAAGAACGTGATGAACCCTCCTTGGCTGGACAAACGGCCGTGCTGTAGAAACTTGTCCTTGACCACCTCCGGTTTTGAGTCCCTCTTCTTGAAGAAGATAGTCTACCCGCACCAAACTTCGTCTTGACCTTGTCGATTACTATCCTTGGTATTCCATTGGTCGCGGAGCTCCTCTCCATCCATGATGGTGATTCGTTCTCCATCAAGTTCGTAACAATTAGGTCCATGTGGAGCTCCTGCTGGATGAAATAGGAGTCGTCGGGGTTGACGATGGTGTCGGACCCAGTACTTGTCTTTCTCCTCCCAGAAATCTTGAGTCTCCTCATCGCTTTCCGGTCTTACATTTCCCCAAGAAGCATCGGAGACAGTGCCCACTCGGGGATGTTCCATCGGTATGGGCTGAATGACAATTCCCAGCTGCTCATGCCTTACAGCTTCCTTTGCTAAAACGTTGGCCTCCACCATATCTTGAACGTACGGTGTAGGCATGGATTGCTGGAGTATTGCTACTCGGCCAGCTAAGTCGGGCCGTATTTCTTTGGCCAACCAAGCCAAACTACCCAGAAGCCCCCTCAACTGAGTGATCTCCTTCGGGGTACAGAAACTATATCTTTCGCGTTTTCGACTCTTCTCCATTGTGATTGGTTCGATCTTCTGGGAGAACAAGGGTTGGTGGACCAGAAAATTTCCGTCCGGCCTGCATTTGATTTCTTTGCCGACAAACCGTCCATTACCCGAGGTGAATTTGCCAAGCTTGTAGTTCTTGTTCAGCCACTCCATTTTACTCCAGTGTGTCTCATCTCCTCCATGTAACAGATCATCAGTCGCCACGCTGATAATTCCCTGCAGCTTCTTCTCCTCCTTGTTCCAGAAATAGAACAAGCATGGATCACCTGCGCTCTGTTCGTACCCTAAGGTTTCGACCAGAATCCTCTTCAGGTGATGATACCATGCGAAAGGCCCGTCCAAAAGACCATAACACGTTTTCATCAGCCTCAGTAGTTGACGAGCTTGATATCCCGGTAGGGGACATTCTGCAGGCTGAGAGGCATATATTTCCCTTTTTATCTGGTCACCGCTGTGAAAGGCTTGGGTGAAGTCCAGATAGCCAGGCTTCCATAGGTGACTGCAAATGATCTGGAGAGTGCAAAGAACGGTGTCACGTCCACATTGAGGTGTGGTTCTCTCCAGGTTCTCAGAGTCTGTTTCACTGAAACCTTTCATGACATGCCGGGTTTTTGCCTTGGAGCTATTTTCACCCTTGTCCTTGAGAAGTAGACCATCTGTTCGAGCTTGCTCTACCTCGTCCATCTCAATGGGTTTCTCCGTGAAGACAAATCGAGACTTCACAATCTTCTCCGGTTCTTCTCGGCGGACTCTTTCCGATTCTTCAGGTGAAAGAACCTCGTAAGCTCCAGTTAGAAGGTTGTTCCGAATCTCCTTGTTGATGGCATTGATGAAAGGTCCTCGTTGCTGGTGATCCAGAGATCGGAAGTTGACCTCCTTTTTCAATTTTGCTGCCAAGGTCTTCTCGATTTGGTTCATGTAGAGTTCGATGAGTTCGGTTCTCATTCTCTTGCTCTCTCTCTCATCGCTAGCATCTCCTTCTCCACTTCCGTCAGGTTCTTGATCATCTCGGTGTCGAACTTCTCCCCGGGGTAGCTCCTCAATTGTCGCCTCATTCTCAGGGACGATGTTCGGCTCAGTGACCTGGTTCTCCGCAGGGATGTGGTCCTCCGCCGTCTCAATGGATGGTTCCTCCAGCCGTGGTCGCTTTGAACTGCTCGCTGGGATTCTGATCTCACCCATGCTCTCTCTAGTCGGCTTGATCTCAAATTCAGTTCGACCAATCCAGGCTACTCTTTCAGGTTCCGGCTTCTCTTTGACCAGCCAATCATCCGTTTTGGAAAACCTTTCTCCGGTTGTTACAAGGTTTCCAATTGTCAGTCGATGTCCATAAATTCGATGAAGTGGTATTGGACATCCGTCAAGAGCCTCCGTTGGTAGGAAGAGGTTTCTTCGTGGCTGGTGATGCCATCGGACCAGCTTCTGTTGCTCCTCGTTGATCATCCATTCATTATTTCGGTCGTCTCCTTGGAAGACAATGTTCTGCTGATCCCTTTTTCCAGTAAGTCGGAATTTGGGAACATTGGAGCCAGTGTTGGGTTGAGGTGCCTCATGTCCTCCAGGTGGTTCATCCTCCAATGGGATCGGCTCGGTGGTCAAGTCAATATAGCCCTGCCGTGGAACTGTATCGAGCTCCTTCTTCGTCTCAGTGATGTCATCGATCCACTTACTCAAAGTGAATTGTTCTTCTTCACTGGCGAGACGGAGATGTTCAGGAGCCGCCTTGACTATGTATCCCCTGTAGTTCACCCAAATGGTGTTTGGAGGTGAAGTCAGAATCACCCGACATGGTTCCCGCCAATATTCGGGTGCGTTTTTCTTGGCCCCTTCCATCCCTTTTCTCCAAAAGTAGACTGTTTGCCCGACCTCATAGTCAATGCGTTGGCGAGGTCCAGCATGAAGAGCATTTTTGAGGGCTTGACTGCAATCTGCTTCATGAAATGCTTTTGCGGCCGCCAATCTCATCTCGGCCGCCCGTTGTACCTGAAGATCTCCCGCTCGAAGACTCATCGTTGCCAGATCGTTAGCTCCTCCAGAAAGAGCTCCTCCAGGAATCCTTGGTGAATATCTCAATACCCTCTGGATTGGGCTGTACCCCGACTTATTCATCAGTCGATTGCATGTCATGTTGGCCACATCGACCAGTTGGCGCCACTCCTCCTCATCCTGACAGGCGTACTGCTGCATCGTCCGGCTGAAGACCTCCTTGAAGTTTCTGCCGGCTCGTTCCGTGATTCCTCTTTGCGTCGGCATCTCCAAACTGCTCGGCTCCACGATAGTGGATTCTTGTTCGGCCCCTATCTCAAATGATCCAAGAAATTTCCTTCCCAGATCCACATAGAGCTTCGTAGGTGGTCCAAAAATCTTGACCCACTGGAGATAGGCCCTTCTAGTCTCATATGCCGTGTGTCTTTTAGGGATGATCATTTGAAAACGAGATGCCCAGTCCACTATGTTTAGTGCCGGTCTCCTCTTCCGCTCAAAGTCGGGGATGTACACGGTGTCGATGCCCACAATCTCGTTCACATGTAGTTGACGAGGAGGTGCTGCTCGGCGAGGTGGATGTAGAGCAGCATATTGATCACAGACAGAGCACCGAAGTTCCTTAGCCAGCATGATGGCCTCGGGGGAGGCATTCGCGTTTTTCAAGATTCGGGCTAGGCGATCGTTACCAGGATGACCAAGTCCTTCATGTGCTCGACGGACAAGTTGCTGGAGGGAGAACGGTCTTTCCCGGGGCAGTCTGGACCTTATCTGCTCAGATCTTTCTTCTTCTCCACCTTCTTGAACCTCATCTTGATCCCCTGTCTCCTCATTCTCAATCTCATAGAGCTCTGCCGGCACCTGCTGGTTCGATAGGGCCAAGTCATTCTTGATCACGTTGTCATTCTTCAATGTCTCGTTCTTCTCAGGGGTGTCGACATTCTGAATCGTCTCGGCATCCACGTCGTTGTAGATCTCGTCCATGATGTAGAGATGTCGTTGTAGATCTCGTCGTAGATCATGCCAGTCAACCAGATTGATCTCCTCGGTCTTGATCTGTCGTCGATATCCACGAAGTATTGCATCTACCAGAGGTTGTGGATATACCTGTGCTTGCTTTGCTCTGTTGCCAGTGTGGTTGCGGCCAAGGACTTGTTCATGTTGATGAGATCGATCGCATCTTCGATCCAGCTCGGCCGCAATCTCTGGTGACGTCGTGATGAAGCCAGTAGGCTTCTTGTGGAGGTTGCCCGAGGTAGATCTCAAGTTGAACCTGCACTGATCGCATGCCACCAAGATCACGCGATCATCCGCCATGAGTTGTTGTAGCTTATTTTCCAACCAGGCAGTTGAGGTGAGGGGGTGCTCGAGCAAAAACTCACCACCATAAGACATGACCTTCTCAGCAACCTTGGCAGAAAACCTAAGAAGCCTCCTGGCAAGTCGTAGCCTCTTCAAAAAGACCTGATATTTCTTATGTTTGTTTAGGTTCTGCAACGGTGTGAACAAGGTGCAGGGAGGAGAAATCACTACGAGTCCAGGTCTCATGTGTTCCAAATATTGATATACCTCAGCCTGCATCTCAGGTTTTAACAAGTCATGTTCTAATGTCAAGTCGAAAGCTTGTCCCGGAGTCAACTGAAATTTCGTTACCCGATTTCCGAAACGATTAGGATTGTAAATTTCGGCAACCGTCCTGATTTGTTTTGGGTTTTGTCCTAATACTCCCGCAAATTTGTGAGCCGATTTTTGGTTTTTGATCCGGTGCGGATGGTTGGGATCCAGAGCTTCTGTCTCAAAGCGCTGCCAGCCTATGTCAATAACTTGACTTGGCTCTGTACTAACCAGACTCATAAGTTCTGTCCAAATCTGTTCAGCGGTTCCAAGAGCCGTTTTGGCTTGATGGACAATCCGCTTTACCCGTCTGGCTCGTCTACTATTCACAGGTTTGGTCAGCAGTTGGATCTCCTCAGGCTCAATGCCTAGTTCTCGGATTCCGAATCCCGTTTCTGTTTTTCCTTCTGCCACTTCCGGAACTCCTGGAATTCCTGGAACTCCTTGTATTCGTCCTTCTCCTTCTTGGTCATCTTGGAACTCTTGGTCTGCGAGCTGCTGCTCTCTGACACCGCATCGCGTGGTCCCTTTTTCAAGACCTTGCCGCAGTCCTTGCACTTCTCCTGAATGGTTGTTCCCGTGCTCCCCTGTCGGGTCACATTTTTGTGACGACACCTGCTCATAGTTGTCCTCGGACTTGCCGTAGAGGTAGCTCCGGGCGTTGATGGTGAAGACCTGGTTCCCCTCGGCAGTGGTGATGTCGCCGGCATTGATGGAGTCGCCGGCAATGATGGAGTCCCGATGTTCATCAGAGGGTCCTGAGGGAGCCAGGTTGGTTGATGTTGAGTCCATCCGAAGAAGTTGCACTGGTTTCCTCGGTCCCTCGGACAACGCCAAAAGGCTCTGCCGTAGTTGGGGCCCAACTTGCGTGTCATCCATAGGCGAGCTTCCTCCTGATGATGGCAGTATGGCGGCCGCCCCATCAACTCCAAGTCCAGGTCGTTGAGAGTCGACCTCATGTCGGCCATCTGAGACTCGGTGTAGCTTGGCGCCGGTGAGGTCGGTGTCACCGAGCTGTACCTCTGGGAAATGGCGGACCGGACTTCGTCGTTGGCGTCGTCCTCCTCCGCGATCAGGTGAAAGCTGCCAAGGCTCTCGACATCCGGAGTCTTCCGGGTTGGGTAGGCCGTTGTGGGCCAAGCCGAAAATGGCTTCTGTCGGTTCTCCTTGAGGGGCATCAACAGCCTCATAGTCATCTCCGTCACATTCACCATCACCATGAGGATCTTCAACACCATTCTGCGCCAGGCGGCTAGGGGCTCCACCGCCTCGTCCGCCGCCTGACGTGGCCGTTTGGTCACACCTCTGGACTCCATGACCAACGTCCGAGGTCGGTACGAAGTGGGCAGCGGAAGGTCTCGAGCCGGAATCTCGCTCGAATACGGTAGTTGTCCTGAGAAGTTCAAACTCCTTACAGTTTTCTTGGAAGGCCTCTTGAGTCTGTTTCACGGTTTCCAAATTCTTTCCGGAAAATTCACTGAGGGGAACCCGAAGTGCACCAGTGGGACCTATATGACACTTGACGGCGAAACCAAAACGTTTGAAGTAAATCCTCAGACCCTGTTTGGGATCCAGATGTATTACCGCCCTACAGTGAAGTAAAAAAGGCAGGGAAATCAAAAAGGGTGCTTGTCGTGACTCCTTGTTGTCAAAGACTGCCGGACGCAAGAGGCTCCCCTTGGTACCCAAACTGGTAGGGATCACCGCCACAAACTTGGTGGTAGAAGTTCCATGAACAGACCTAAATCGATGTTCTTGAGGTACAAGATTGGTTTGAAGTCCATCGGGTAAAGCTGCATCTAAACGTTTCAAAGTCTCTAGACCGATTGCCATCCGCTGACATCCAGTGACAATCGTTGCACAAAGGTCATCAGATGAAATATCGGAACCCTCAGATTTCTTTCCATCACTCCAATAAACATCATGTTCAATTTTCCTCCGATTCCAATTAAAACCAAAATCATCAAGAACACCGGGACCCACAAAAACCTCACTACCCACAAAACAACTTCCATGCCCATGGTCCTTATAATTGCGCACAAAATTGGAAGATTCAGCCTGTTGGCCGTTCGAAAAATCTCCATTCTGTTCCAGGCCAAAATGGCCGTCATGACTGCTTGAGCTGTCAGGGTTTCCCGACATGAAAGACTCAGTGGCTACCTTCAGAGTTTCACTCAGTACTGATTGATCAAGTCGTAGAGCTCGTCCAGGATCTTCAAGAAGACCGCAAAAGAGACCCTCTTCGGAGTCCGAGATCGGTTTCTTCTCGATGTAGTTTACATCCTTGGGCTTATTGTTGTTGGATGTTCCCTGATTCTTGGGGCATTCAGGGTCACGGTGCCAGTGCCCCACCTGATTGCACTTAGCACATCTGGATTTCGCCTTTGCCTCACTCAGGGACATCCTGTAGTAGCCCCCTTTCACATATCCAGCGGTTGACAAACCGCCTCCATTGCCACGGCCTCCGGAGCCTTTGTCTCTCCATTGTCCATAGCCCCGAGCAAGGGCTTTCGCCTTCTTCGTCTTCAAGCTCTGCATGAAGGTCTTCTTCTTGTGAGCTATCATCGTGCTCAGCAGCTCCTTGGCCTCGTGCTCCTCCATCAACTCTCCATCCTCAAAAAGGTCGCTCTCGGCAATCTCGGATTGTCCATCTTCTCCCGGATATAGTTCCCGGTACAGCTCCTCCATGGCCAACAACTCGTCATCGTCGTAGTCCTCGTCGTCCTGACCCATGCTATAAACAGAATTGGTCTTGGCACCACCGGATCGGGATTTCTCAGCTCCGACCTCCTTTGCCAACAACTTCATTTCATGTTTTCTGCACCAGCTCTTCACATCTTTGACATCGATTGCGCCCTGTGTGAAAGCCAGCATGGCTTTGATATCAGCCTCCGACAGAGTCAAGGCGTTGATCAGCAGGAAGCCCAGGTACTTCTCGGGCAACACCACGTTGTGCTCCTTGATCTTACGGATTGCATCATCCCACCTAGCGAAGAAGGCTCGGCATGGTTCGTCTCGAGCCCTCTTTAGATGGTAGGTCAGCTTCGACAAGGCGGCCAGAAATTCTTCTTCCCGGTCTTCTCCAAATAGTTCTGGAGTGTCCATGAGGTCCAGGATCTTCTGACCATTGTTCTCGTTATTGAGCCAGTTCTTGTCTTTGGGCAAGTGTTTCAACGACTGAAACGGTTGGCCACTCAATCTCTGAAGGATCATCGGGCCTTGGGTCCTTGGCTTCGACCGTGTCGTAGCCAGCCATAGCCTGGCCTTGATCAGCCAGTCTTGAAAACCCATCGAGCTTCCGTCCCATTCTGGTGGAGGTGGTCCATTTCCTGAACCTCTCCGCTTGTCGCCCGAACTAAGGGCTTCATCACTGTCGTGCTCTCGGTCAGCACGGCGTTGACTTCGTCGCGAACGTTCTTGGTCTCCACGACGTCGATCGGCACGTTGCCGCATCCACTCACGAAACTCACCACTGTCAAAACCGTCGTCACCTTGAGATGACGGGTTGTCACGTTCAGGTTCTGGTACCTCTGCACCTTCACCATCCAACGAACCATGAGACGAAGGAAGGGTTGCCATGACTAAAGGTTACCCTTGGAGCGTTTTGCTCCGCTACCACTGTACTCGGAGACACATCGCAACGCGCTCTTTTTCAGCGCACACCCAAGGCCCGAGTTTCGAGCCACCACTCAACGTTCAGAACACATCTGAAATGTTATGCTAAAATGGTTTCAACC